CCATAAATAATAATCACACCCTAATTTTTAATAATTATCATTAATAATATTGATTGCAACAGGTAGAATATCCCGATTATATTCACATTTAGTTTGGGTAGAATCCAAGATGTTTTTCGCACAGGAACAAGTCGAACCTAAGTTATGCCTGCATGCTCCAATTGTGTTCGAAAGCGCCTATATACAAGGGCTTACATCTTTAGTGATGCTCCCACGCTTCCTAGATGTTAGATTTTTCGTTCACGGCAGCCATGCTAGGCGACGATTTTGAGTGGCAGAATTCACTATTTTTTATTTGTTTACGTATTGCAAATCGCAGTCTAAACAACTTAATTTTAGAGCTCAGCACATTTCACGAGCAGAGCTCTTCGTAACGTCCTATTATGAGGTGAGTGTGTTTATTTATGATCGTTCAGCAAATTACTTTAGCCTGTGCCTATTTCGGCGTTATTTTTCTACCTCGATTTCGTATTAGTTTTACTCTTAAACCTCCGATCTTTAACTTGTAACTAACTTTTACTTGAAATTGTAACTACCATCAAATTGCTGGGTCTGAAAATTTCCAATAATCTTAAATGGAACCGTCACATAGAGGAAATTGTTAAGAGAGTTAATCAATCCAAAAGCAACACGAGTGTGCTGCAAACTATTTGTTTCGTAAAACATTTTGACTACGAATGCATGTTCTCTGGCAGTGGTTATAATAATATATAACTATGTTTAACTGGTATATAACTATGTTTAACGGTCATTTTAGGTAACTTAACATTCTAATGCACCATCTTATTTAATAGACATATATTTAAACATTGTCATGCTTTGGATATATATAATCTCAAAAAATCTAAAATAACCTTAGAACTTCCAATCTATATACCTATCTATCTGGGTGTTGTGAAAACCTGGAATGCCGGAATATCACGGAATATCACGGAATATGCCGGATTATCACGACATTTTACCGGAATATACCGGAACATCACGATGGTAGCCATGCGACTGTTAATAACATCAGGGCATTTTTTAAGAAATTATACAACTAGTGGGGCTTAGTTTCAATGAGGGCCTTTTCCCCACACAGTTTATACGGGTACATAAAAATCACAATGTGCTCAGGGGCACCGCTAGTGCTATTTAAATAGGGGGTGGGGTGTAAGTGAAATATTGCCTACTAATTTCAAACACTAATTAGTATTTCTTTTCACCAACTGGTATTAGATATTTGCCGACTACGTGACAATTGAGTGTTTACCAAACATTTTGAATCAATAGACAATACGATTAATTCCTCCTGAGTTACAGCGTCTTGCAAAATAAAAGGGCTGTATTAAAATAAAATAAAAACGCCTTCCAAACTGTGACATACACAAAATTTAGTTAAAAATTCTTGGTTAATTATAAGGTTAAGACGGGACTTCTTACCTGATATAATCAAGAATTTAAACATCTTGGCTCGAACTTGCCTTTATTTTCGCATTTGATTTTTGGATATTAAGTACTTGATGGTATAAAATGGCCATTTTTAATATACCACCAAATCCAAAAATCAAATGCTAAAATATAGGCAAGTTTGAGCCAAGATGTTTAATTAAATTCTTGTTTAAATCAGGTAAGAAGTCCCATTTTAAACTTAACCAAGAATTTTTAACTAAACTTTGTGTATATCACAGTTCGGAAGGCGTTCGTAATTAATCGTATTGATTCACAATTTTTGGTGAGCAATCGTAATAACGATATAAACAACATATAAAACTTCCAGTATAGAGTTATTGTTTGTTACTTACCGTCAAAATGGGAAAGGTCCATCACTTTTGTAATAAAATGTGTTGTCAGACGTCTATAAACAGTCGCATGGCTACCACTGGAAAATATCGTGATGTTCCGGGAAAATGTCGTGATATTCCGCCATATTCCGTCATATTCCGGATTTTCACAACATCCCTATGTATCTAAAGAACTTCTATCTATCTATCTATCTATCTATCTATCTATCTATCTATCTATCTATCTATCTATCTATCTATCTATCTGTCTGTCTGTGTGAGCAGACGTGTATTTGCTAGCTCCGTAAAATAAAATAATTTGTTGATAGATCTGTTAACTATTATGTCGCTATTAAAGAAACATCTAAAATATAGTGAAAGTGATGATTCTTTCTTGTGGAAAAGCTCTCCAGAAGACTTGCAAAAGTTTGTAAATGCTATCTTAGACATCGAAGATGACTCTAAAGGCGAATTGAAAGAAGACAAGAAGCACAAAGCTTTCACGTATAAGCTCAACGACATCTCAGTGCGTTTTTACATAGCAACAGGAACGCTTAAATTGTTTGGCGCGGGGCAAAACGCCCTATTAAACAATCTACACAAGATCATTGATAAAAACAAGGCGTCGTCTGTCATTCCTTCGAGTACGAATATAATTAGAAATGGCTGCGAAGACGAAGCAGAAGATGAATCTCAACCACTGAAACTTCACGAAGCATCACCGGGGTCGGTCGACGACAGTGTAATTCCCTGTAGTCAGTCAAACATCTGTACTGGCGAGAACGTTCAAATGAATACGGAAAGTATTTTTCGTGATGCTGTTATGAGTGAGCTAAAAGATCTACGAAATGAGGTAGAAAAGATTAAAGCATATTCTTGCACTCAGGGAAAGCAGGTAAATCATTCACTTGTACAATGTCAATGCTATAAAGAAATTGACGAACTTAAAAATCGGGAGAATATTCAAAAAGAATAGATTAAAAAACTAGAAGAGGAGAAAGCTAGTCTCGTTACGGCCATTAAATTACTCATGACAAATAACGAACCCACAAGTGTCAAATGCAATGATGTATCGAAAAGCATAAACACTGCTGGGAAAAGCCCGGTCGACAATGAGGACGAAAATATTGCCAATAGCGAGGCTAATAAGGAAGATATAAAATCTAAAAAACTAAAACGTAAATATAAAAATAAGAAATCGAAAATTAACAACGAGAGTGAACAAAAGCCAAACGATCCAGAATTTAATAGTTTTCTAGAAGGAAAATCATCTGATTATACAGAGTATAAGAATCGAAATTCTACCGTCATAGCTGGTGATTCTATGATATCACGATTACAAGGTTGGAAGATGTCTGACAAATCTCGACGTGTGACAGTGAAATCATTCTCTGGAGCAAAAGTCGAAGACATGTCCCACTATATCAAGCCTGATCTTAAGTTTAAACCAGATAATTTAATTTTGCATGTTGGGACAAACAATCTCAGATCGAATACTCCAAACGAAATCGCAAAGGAAATTGAGAAAATCTGTAACATTGTTAATCATGATTCTCCGTCAACAAATATTGCTATTTCCCAACTAATTGTACGCCAAGATTCGGCTGAACTTGAACAGAAGCGTGTATGTGTGAACGAGATCCTTAGTTCTTTAACTAAATCTAAGGGTTGGAAATTAATTATCCATAATAAAATTGATACTAACTGTTTAAATGGCCGCAAAGTTCATCTGAATAATCGTGGCACAATAAACCTTGCAAAAAACTATAAAAATTACCTAGATAATTTAGATTGACTAAACGAAAAAGGCTGTGATGAGATACTAGATAATTTACATATACCACAGGTAAGTGGTTAATTTTAAAATGGTCTCCTTAAATATTGGTAGTCTTCCTCGTCATTTTGAAGAATTACGCACTTGGTTGTCAGAACAAAATATTGACTTAATAGCTTTGATTGAAACACGCTTAGATAGAGATGTAACTGACAATCATGTTAAACTTGATAATTATCAATTGATTAGGAAAGACCGAAACCGATATGGTGGGGGAGTTTGTACATATTTGAAAAATCACATCAATTGCAAGGTTCGGTGCGATGTTATGTCCGATGACACAGAAACCATTGTGATTGATATTATAAAGCCAAACAGTAAACCATTTACCGTGGTAGTAAGTTACCGACCACCTGAAAGCGATCCGGATATGTTTTTTGATCATATGACTAGTATTTTTAATTTACTTGACAATGAACAAAGAGAAACATATTTATTAGGAGATTTAAATTGTGATCTGCTTTCCGAAAGGAGTCGTCGACCCATAACGTTATTAAACTCATTTTCTGAATTATTTCAGCTTGAACAACTTATCAAAGAGCCCACCAGGTGTAATGAAAATAGCCAAACCTTAATTGACGTGATTCTTACAAACACCCCAGAAAGAGTTGTTACATCAGCTGTTCTACACTTGGGCATAAGCGATCATAGTTTGGTTTACGTTGTGCGCAAAGTCGCTATCAAAACTAAGAGCAGGCATCGCGTTGTTAATATTAGATCCATGAAAAACTTCAACAGCTAGCAATGTCCACGGCAGCATGTAGCCATTAGAAGAATAAATCATATGCGTATAGAATATGCAATCAAGCTGCGAGAGAATAAAAGGCGATAATCAGAGAGACACTGAAGCAGAACGAACGAACTCGTGTTGAAGTAGAACCGATTAAGGAGTGGTCTACACACTGATAAAATAACTTGATAAAGTAAAACGAAAGAAATATACGTTATCAACGTCGCACTTTACATTATATGGGAAAGGTGGATCTTCAATGATCAAATGCTCTGGCATAGTCTTCAGTGACTTGAGCAATACACTACGTGGGTCTTCAATGATCAAACGCTCTGGTATAGTCTTTAGTGACTTGAGCAACACACTCAGCTGTAAACGTGTGAAGACGAAGTTATTTGGAGATCGGTGTAGTGGAATTGAAAGCGGGGACCGTTATCAAAACCCTGGTAAACTTAACGAGCGCTCTGAAAATCGGGATTGTCAGGACTAGCTGAAGAAACAACGGGAAGGAACAACTCGCCAAAGGACGCAAGTATCGTAGCTTGAGAGACAGTTCACAACAATAGTATAGGATTTACACTGTACAAATTATAGAAAAATATATTTAAACTTTTTTTTGTATATGAAGTTATATTTGCCGACACCCACACAGGCGGATTTAAATTCGTCACAATTGGTGGCAGCGGTGGGATTAGTCGGTTAATAGGAAGAAATAGTATTAATAGTGAACAATTATCACGAAAGAACAATTAAATCGTATAATGAGCGAATACGACGATTGGGGATTAGAATCTTAAGAAAAGAATGTGCTGGCCGTGAAATTGTAATTAATACAAAAGATGGCGTTAAAACACTTGCTGCAAGGTTAAGAGCAAGTGATAAAGCTGTAGAAAAAGTACAAACAGAGGACGAGACTGTAGAATTGGAAACTGACAGAGGGGTGTTTGAGCCTTCAAAAACACGAACAACAAAAACTGTAGAAGACCCGGGTAATTTCAGTAGTGACCATGACTATGGCAATAAGGGCAAAATTCCCTCGGGTCCCACAAGTTATGAACGTACTCGCGAGCCCCTGGGGTCCTTAAGTTTTGACGAACGATGGCGTCTTTTGCAATTTGAAAGAGATATGGCATTAGAACGCGACGAACTTGAAATGAGACGGGAAGAGCGTAAAAGGAGGGCTGAGAGGGAAGATAAAGCGTGGGAAGTAGAATTGGAACGAGAGAAATATCAGATCTATGTAGCTAAGCAGAGAGTACCAAAGCCTATAAAGGTGCGAGAAATGAGAGAAAATGAGGATATAGATGATTATTTTCGAATTTTTGAGATGACTGCTAAGGCCCAGTTAATTTCGCAAGACGAGTGGCTAGGTAGTTTAATCCCCCGTTTAAGTGAAAAAGCGAAGTCTATATATTTAGAAATTGTTGGTCCAGATGCTCAGGATTATAATAAAAGTAAGGCTATTATATTAAGAGCATATCAGCTTAATGTTGACCATTATAGATATCGATTTCGCCATTCAGAAAAAAAGGCTGGCGAAGATTTTGGCCAGTGGGCTCACAGAACCCGTAGATACTTGAACCGATGGATGACTGTGGCAGAGGCCATAGACAACCGAGAAAAAATATTAGAACAAATTGTTATAGAACGATTGTTAGATGGGGTTGGCCCTGAGTTACAAGTATGGTTGAAAGAGAGAAAGCCCAATACCGCAGAGGAATTGGCAAATTTAGCGAATGATTATGTACAAAGTAGAAAGGGACCCTTAATTGATGGTAAATATGTTAGTGCCAAAAGAAATGATAATAAGCCTAGGAATGATGATTTTTGCAAAATGAGAGATAAAGTTTACGAAAATAATAAGGGAAATCCAGATAAGCCAGACTTTGGGAAATTTCGAGATAAATTGGACAAGTCAAAAGTTAAGTGCTTTAATTGTCAAGAGAAAGGTCATTATGCGCATGAGTGCCGAAAGAAAAACAAACAAAATGCCGCATTGTTAGGAATGACTAAGGGATATAATACCCTTGGAAGTTACATAGTAGGGAATTTAAACGGGAACAAAGTCCAAATGATAATCGATTCTGGTTGTTCAAGGACTTTGGTGCATGAAAACCTTGTTAGTAAAAATAGTTTACTGGTGAAAATATTACAGTTATCACTGCAAATGGTGATAGAGTCGAAGTCCCTTTAGCATGGGTAACCATAAGTAGTGAACAAGGGATACATCGAGAATTAGTGGGGGTTATGAGAAATCTCCCCGTAGATTGTTTACTTGGGCGTTCGTCCTATGGCAAGTCTTTAGCCAGAAAAATTTGCTTGATCATTGCGAGCAAGCTGTCGACTTAAATATAGAACCGACAGTGGTGTATAGTGACAAGAATAAGTCCGCTTTAGTTGTTACTCGAAGACAAGCAGCGATTGTGAAAGCTCAAACTAGATTGGATAAGTTGACAGATAAACAAAATGAATTAGCTATTAAGACTCTAAGCCCTAAGGAACCCGCAAAAGATGAATTATTTGAGACTATCGAATTAAATAATTTATTTGGTGAAGATAATAATGTTATAACGGAACCTGATCCCGAGAAAGTATGCGTAAAAGAATCGGTTGCAAATATAGACTCCTCTGAAAATGGCTGTCAATTAGAAACAAATATTTTAGACCGTAGTCACTCACAATTGATTAATGATCAAAAGAAAGATGTTACTTTACATAATTTAACTATTTTAAATGTACCACTGGAAGACACAGATGGTTATTTCTACGTAAATGTATTATTATGCATAGAAAATTTACAAAATACCCGCATGATGGATTGCCCTTTATTGACAGGGTTGTGGCCCCAGAAGCATATAGGCCAGAAATATTGAGAGTAGGTCAATCTGTTCCACTTGCAGGTCACATGGGACAAGAGTAAACATACGAAAGGATATGTCCACATTTTTCATGGCCACACTTATATACGGAAGTAAAAGATTATTGTGCAACGTGCCCTCAATATCAATTAGTGGCCGGAAAATCAATTATGAGTAGAGCTCAACTATATCCGGTCCCAACGGTATCTGAACCATTTAAGAAAATTGCAATCGACTTGATAGGTGAATTACCAAAAACAAAAACAGGGTACAAATATGTTTTGACCTTGATTGATTATGCTACTCGATATCCGGAAGCAATTCCGCTGAAAACAACTCATTCTCGCGTTATTGCTGAAGCGTTAATTAGTGTATTTTCACGGGTGGGCCTACCAAATGAAATAGTCTCTGAACAAGGATCTAATTTATTTGGACAACTGATGAGACAGTTGTACGAATTATTGGGTATTTCGCATATTAAAACGTCGGTTTATCATCCAGAGGCTAATGGTTTGGTTGAGAGACTT